TAAAAGACTTGAATAAACACTAACACAGTTTCTAACAGCTCAAAGCTGTACCCCTAGTATGACCCCAGCCCCCTTAAAGTGTCTGCCTGAGAGAAGTGCCAGGAGAATCACTACCTGTTCCAACCCAAACCTGGTAATAGACTGATAGGCCCCTGAACCCCACCTTTCTGAGCTGTTACTTTAGAAAGCTTGGTTTGTAAGTCCTTTCTCCCTGGTTGAGATGCGGATCTTCCACCATCCAGAACTGCCTTCTCAGGAAACTGAGAGACTCTCTCTGAAATACAAAAACATTCAGGAAAACGCTTCCTGCTCCCCTCTCAGGTCCTGGGCAGCTCACTCAAACTTGCACCATTAGCTTCTGTCACAAAGAGACAATAAGTTTGTTTCTCCTCCAGCTGAGCACCAATTAAGAAACCCTGTGTCCACTGGAGCCCTTGCTTGTTCCTTCACCTTCAAAACGCCCATCACCTCTGCACTCATCAGAGTTGAGCTCAGCTCATGCTGGACCCTCTTCCCACTGCAATGGTTGTTAATGAGTAAACTCTACCTTCACCACTTTAACTAGTGCCCACTTATCTTTGACAAAGGTCAGAGTTACATTTTATATCTTCCCTGGGGAGAGTTAGTTTAGAAAGAAGATCTCAGTGCTAACAAGGCTAAGGTTATGAACTTGGTCTCCATATGGCTCTGTCCATATGTCATGTGTGTACACCTCTGTCAGGTGTTTCACAAGTGCCTTTCATTGATCACAAGGGACACCAGGTGAGAAAGTAGAGATGGCTCAGCATAAACCATTTGCTGCTGCTTTTTTTGGTTTCTCATTACTGCTTTTAGAGCTCAAATATAGAGATGGTGTGGCCTATGGCCTTCACTTTGTATCTGTCAGCTAGGAGAGATCCTCCATGACATCCCTCACGGTATCCCTTCCCCCAAACGCCCTTCTCCCTCTTTGTCTGCTGTCCTTTTAGCATCTAATTCATGGGCTTCGTCTTCTACCAGCTCTTTCTCAAGAATCCAACTTCCACTTTCTCTCTAGTACCAATAAGCATTTAGCTTCTATACATCGCTTCCTTTTGTTACCACCAACGGCTCACGGTTCATGTATTTATGCTTTACTACTCCTAAATATTTCACCTCTTTTGTTTCATCAAGCCTAGTATATTAAAACGATTCAGTAAAACACATTTGCATATTTTCATTGAGCTTTCCAAAGCCTTTGACAAATTTCAGCAAAATGTTGAATTCCTTCATCATCTTTAAGATTGTGTTATTATAACTCTCAAAGAGCTTACACATTTTATACAGAATCAAGTTAGTGTTACTGTACATTGTGCAGAGAAGTCTGTTGCCTGTGTTTTTTCCCCAATTTCGTGTGATCATACAGTAATATATTTTACCACAAAGGAAAATCATTTTGTATCCAGCATTATAATAGCTAGTTCTTTATACTCACATTGATGTTAGCCTACATTTTCATAGCTTTATGTATATCTCTTTATTATGATACATACTTTATGCCCATTTAGAATATTTTGTATTTTCAGGAATACAAAATAATCCTTTCAATGGGCATAATACACTTAACTTAGATTGTTCATATGCTAAGATCCAGAAGGGACCCTCCAGAATGTTAATTTTCCAATTGAGTTCCATGCTATTGTCAAATGTATTAGTTTCTTATTGCTGCCATAACAAATTACCACAAACTTAGTGGCTTAAAACAACACAAATTTATTACTTTATAGTTCTGGAGGTCAAAAGTCTTGCAAGGTTCTCTACAGGCTAACAACAGTTGTCAAAACTGAATTCCTTTATGGAGGCCCTAGGAGAGAATCTGTTCCCTTGCCTTTTCCAGTTTCTAGAGGAGGCCTGCTTTCCTTGGCTTGAGACCCCCTTCCATCTTCAAAGCCAGCAATAGCTGGTTGAGTCTCTCACATCATGTCATGACTCTGACATGCCTGTCTCCCTCTTTCCCTTATAAGGACTTTGTGATTACATTGGGCTCACCCAGATAATTCAGGATAATCTCTCCATCTCAAGGCTCCTACTGCCGTCTCTGTGCATATATCTCATCTGGGGAAGGCTTCATCATCTAATAGAGATGGTTCAGGCAGAGCAAAACCACTCATTTCCTCAATAGATAATGGTAGTTCATTGTTATCCTTATTACTTATCATTGAGAGTAACAAAAATATATACACTTTCAATATGATTATAAATTACTGGAATTGTTAAAAAAACAAACAAAACCCAAGTCTAGTAATGCTTACGTATACTCAGTGTTACTCTGTCATAATGGAATGAACTTCAAAAGCTGTAGTGACTCTTGTGGGAGAAGGTTCTTTGCCCACTCCGGTGGTTTTGTTTTAGTTTTTTTTCAGAAATCGAGGAGAAGAGATGGTAGGCAGAGAAATCAGTACCTAGTACAGGTAACACTTCGTCACAGTGAAATGATAGATAGCTCAAGTCTGTTGCTTGTGTTTTTTCCCCAGTTTCATGTGATCATGAATGGAGTTGGAACAAATGGCATTCTCACGTTTTAGAAATATATTCAGCTGAATGTCTACTTATCTCAAGTCAAATTAAATTTTAGGTAAATGAAAAGATTTGAATGTGAAATTTTTGGTGGTGTCATCTGATGACACTGAAGCATTAGTACCTTCAGTTCCTTCATATCAGTTCTGTTGCTGCTGTGGTTTAAGAATGTGGCCACGAAGCACTCCTTTTTGTTTAAGCCAGGTATCCTTGGATTTGTATCACTTCAAACTAAAAAACCATGTTTATTATATATTAAATTCTTAAATGTATTTAAATATAGTTTATTCTCCACTGTTCCCACTGATCTACTGCTTCTTCTCTAGAGCTGAACTGTTTTAATTTCTTTACATTTTAATATCTTTTAGGGCTAATTCCCCATCATTATACCTGACACAGCCTTTCAGGTACGTTGGCCTAGAGAAACACTGGAGTGATGGGAGATTGTCCTGGACTGCAGATACAGGTATTCTAGCCTCTGTAAAGGTATCTACCCCATCCTTAACCTTGTCATCTCTAATCTTAAATTAATAAATTAAATTGGGGTTATTAATCAGTGTTTCATAAATTGGTTAGCAAGAATCAGGGCTCACTTACAGCCTTATTTACTTGAGCAAACTGGTAATACTGGAGTTTCTAGATTTAAAACTGAAGTCTGAACTATGCTAAAGTCATTTTAGTTGGAAAAATGGAATATCTGCAGTGAAGCCCAAGATTTTCCTAAGACATTAGGATGCCACACTTTGATTCATATGAAGGGGTGGGGTGCGAGTGAGGAGATGTAATGCTAGGGGTTAAATCAAGGCCAGAAGAAATGAACACTTAGAAGGGATAAAGTAGGAAAATCCAAGATAATATTGTATAGTGGTTAAGTGCACAGACTTTAGGCTGGGACTGCCTGGGTCTGAATCCCTGCCCTGCAACTAACTAGTACATGACCGTGGGCAAGTTACTTTAATTACTCTATGTCTCAGTTCACTTTAAATGGGGATAATAATAGTACCTGCCTTATAGTGTTGTTGTGAGGATTAAATTTAGTCACATAAAACCCTTATAACAGTACCTGGCACAAAGAAATTACTAGGTAAGTAACTGCTACGTTATAATGGTCTAAGATGTTAAGGCACAAAGAACTTGGGCTGTGAATCTATTTGCAAAGCTTCCAATGGATGTCTCAGACAGGTAAGACTTTAAGTCAATTTGGTATTAATAAACAGCTAGTTATCCTTTTTTCTGTAGATAACCAGTTATCTACATTTCAGCTATAAATCTGAAAAGGGAGTGGGGAGAGGCAATATTTAAGTTGTGTTGGAAGAGAACCATTAAATTGTTCATTTGGGTAGTATTAATTCCTCACAGAGGTTCCTACTTTCTCCTGTGAACTGTGGTAGGTGCTGTGTGCCATACAAAGATAATAAAAAAGGTCTCAGCCTTCCAGGAGATTTGAAACTAATCACATTTAAAAAAGATATGGGCAGGTCCTTTGCTGAGGGTCACACTGAGATACAAGTTACTTTAGGCTTTTTTAGGAGTTAGCAATGTGGCAGAAGACATCAAGACCAAAATCAAGAATTACCACTGCCCCTGTGACAGCTGCTTCCCCAACCAGAGCCAGGAACTGCTGGCAGACCTACCTGGGCTTCCACCGCTGTGAGAAGGCAATGGCCGCTACAGGGGGTGATGTCTCTGTGCAAATAGTCCACATCCTGGATGGCAGCTCTGTCTGTTTACCTTTCTATCCCTTTGTTTGTTGCCAATCTCAGTAAGTCACAAGGTTCTGTGCAGTCTATTTTATTTTATAACTTTGTTCCCAACTATTAAAATCAAAGAAACTCTTAAAACAAACAAACAAAATGAGCAGAAGGCACATTTCCTGGGAAGATCTAAAGTGGCTCCACCCTGCCTCTCTGCCCTCCATCCTTCGCCCAGGATAGTGAAGGGGGACCTCGGTATATCCCACCCTGGGATCCTGAATCATGGCTTAACTAATAATAAACACTTGTTGGAAAAGTGTAAAAAAAATATATGGGCATAAATGAGGGGCTCACAATACTTACACAGGGGAAGAACCCATGCATGGGGTGGGAATGAGAATAAACGTGAACAATTTCATACAAGAGACAGGATTCGAGCATTTTTGGTGGGCACTCGAAGTATACAATATATTTTAAAGATAGTTTCCTATGCACTGGAGTAGAATAAAGCAGCTAGGTAATGAAGGATTTGGAAACTGCAGGGAAAATTCTGGAATTTCAATAGTACAGTTTGATGAAAGAAATGGGTAAGAGAATAAGCTGGCTACAAAGGTAGTCTGCAGCGATGTTGAAGTTGGATTTCATTTTTGAACATAGTAATAATGTGTGAGTATTGAATAAGATGGATTATTACTGGAGAGGTTACTGTAACTATGGGTGAGAGATATATTCAAACATCATCCACAGTTCTGAACATATAATGAAAATGTATTTTTTCATTTATAAATAATAAGGAATCTTTAATAAAACATATATAGAGGAAATAATTCAAGAAAAAAGACAACATTCATATTTGAAAATGCTCATCAGACACTTCATGCCTTTTCCACGGAAGGGAAATCAGAAGGTAATCTCAACAGTTCTTCTACTTCTTCTTGCAAAGCCTCTGCTTTTTCATGCAACAGCATCTACAATAAAAACACCAGAACACGAGGCAGCCAAAATATACATTGCTAGAGAAATGCTGATGTTTTTACCACGGGAAACTGTACACACCAGCAGGCTGGACATTAAAACTAATAGGCCCGGCTGGGCGTGACTTAGCAGTTGAGGGTCCACCTAGGATCCAGGCGACCAGGGTTCGATTCCCGGTCAGGGCACATGCCCAGTTGCAGGCTTGATCAATGACTCTCTCATCATTGATGTTTCTCTCTCTCTCTCCCTCTCCCTTCCTCTCTCTGAAATCAATAAAGATATATTTAAAATTAAAAAATAAATAAGTAAATTAAAAAAATAAAAAATAAAATAAATAAATAAAACTAATAAAGAGAGTGGAAAATGGCTGCTTAAAAAAAAGTGATGATATGCCCGGCCAGGCGTGGCTCAGAGGTTGAGCGTTGACCTAGGATCCAGGTGATCGTGGTTCGATTCCCGGTCAGGGCACGTGCCTGGGTTGCAGGCTCCATCCCCAGTCGGGGGCGTGCAGGAGGCAGCTGATCAATAACTCTCTCATCATTGATGTTTCTCTCTTTCTCTCCGTCTCCTTTCCACTCTCTGAAATCAATAAAGATATATTTTTTTTAAAAAAAGCTATGATAGTAAATAAACTAAACTGAAGCCTTTAGTTCAAGCCGTTCTAGCCGATCGCTCCACTGGGTACACCAGAAATAAAGGAGCTCTAATACGCTCCAAGATTCATTTTATTGAAGGCTCAGCCGCTTAAAATTTAACTTTTAATCTATAAAATCTAAGGCGATCTTACAAAAATTTAATTAGCTCTTGAAAATGTTATCCTTTATATGTGCATTTTATTATTCCTCAAGATTTAGTATGCTATCTTTTAAAAACCCATCACTTTTTCAAAAAAAGTTTTATTCATTCCTAAAATTAACATGGTTAATTTAAAAAAACAACATAATGAGCAAAGAAAGTATATCTAAATATGGCATATAGTAGCTGTAATGAATAGTGACTGAATAATGATTTTTCCTCTTTTTTTTTAGAAACCAGAAATAAAATGTAGGTATTTGTTGTAGCTGGGTTTTGTGTATATTGTGATGATGAATCTGTACTACTTCTGTTACAAAATTTTATAACAAAAAGTTTAGCAAAATCACAGAGGGGGGAAAAATCATATCACACAAAGTGAAAGTGACAAACCCACTCTCTACCAATTTGATATAAAACATAGCATTATAAATAAAAAAGACTAAAATATAATTAGGTAAGCTTTCCAGCAGCTGAGGTAATGCTGACCATGTGAAATGAATCTCCTAATACATCCTCTAAAAACTATACAGATCAACAAGTAAACCACACAAAACTCATGAGTCAGCATTACTAGAATACAGAGAACTCCATCAACTTCAAATTCCTCACAGTTAAAAAATCCACCAGTTTCCAGCACAGCCATTTCTCAAACTCCCACTCAAAAGTGTTGGCAGAGACCAAGGTGGGTTTGAAAAAAAACTACATGAAAAGGAGAACAGGAAAAACAGAGGTTCTCAGATTAAATAAAATGAACTCCAGGTAGAGAAAGACTACCTTAAGTACAAAAATACTGAGAAAAGAATCTTAGTAGATTAAAGCACTGTATATAAAAAGGGGTTTAAAGTATTTAAAAACTATAGGAGGCAGCCTTGGAAAGGCGCTATCTCTAGGGGAGTGAGTAAAAGGGACAGGTGCCCTTTAGAAGCTGAGCAGTGAGGGGGAAAAATGAGGGCAGAATCAAGGAGCCTATAATAAAATAAAGGAAATTTTAAAAATCAAAGAACACCACTGTTCCTTGCAGTCCTCTCCCTCCCCAAGTCTCCCATTAGAGAAGCTATATATTAGAGAAGAGGGACTCTTGAACTAGGATTCTCATTAATCACTCTGGATGGCAATCCACCCCGTCTAAGAAATGCAGAAGCCTAAGAAGCGCTCATTATACAAGACTACTCTATAAAAAGAAAAGAGAAAATGATAATCAAAGCACTTCCGCTCATAAATATTTCCTCCCCTGAAAGCAAACCATGACACAGAAAAACTGTAACACAATATTCCAAACAGAATTAAATAGTCTCAAATAAACACATCCTGAACAAGAAGTCCAAAACTAAAAACAGAAATGGACCAAAACAGGAAAAAATAAAACAAAAGTTGAAGCTCAGGAAAAAAAATAGAAGAAAAAGGTAAAATAATATCAAAAATAAAAACTACATAATAAGGTGTCCAAGGAAGAATAGATTTAAATGAAAACCTAATTAGGGTCATTGGGAGGCGGGTTGGAAGCAGAGAACAGTCAAGATAATGAAAAGAAGATAAAGAAAGAAGCAAAAAGAGTCAGATAAATTGAAGGGGAAGGTGGGCAAAGAAAATCCAACATACACATAATTGAAGTTGCTATAAAAAAGAAAAATCAATGGATCAGAGCTAATATTTAAAAGTACAACCTACTGATACTTCCAGAAATAAAATAAAATGAAGATATATCCTAGTAAAACTGTTTGAATTTAAAGCTAAATAGGTTCATGTTTTAAATATTAAAACAAACAAACAAACAAAAACTTAACCCATAAGGATTGGGGTGGGGAACTAAAATGGAATACAAACAGAATTTGTGCTTCAAATGAGTAACATAACCACAGTTTTTAAAAAGTAACACTTGAGGAATCTATTGAACAAAATAAACCAATGAACAAGATAGGTCCAGAGGCATGGAAGCATGCACAGACTGACAGAGCTCAGAGGGAAGAGGGGAGGAAGGATGGGCAGAGATTCGCTGAAGAACTTACATGCATATATGCATAATCTATGGACACAGACAATAGTGAAGTGAAGGCTTGGAGTGGGGTGGGAACCCGGTGGAGGGGGAAAATGGGGGACATCTGTAACACTCTCAATAATAAAGATAAAAAAATAACATTAAAAAAAAGTAACACTTGGACAACATTATTTCAATTATATATTCTCAGGCTAAAGACAAAAAGAGCTGTAAATAAATACTGAATTTTAGTTAGTAAGTTTCCCCCCTCAGTGGTATGCTTTAGCAATTCTAAAGTTATTTTCCATGTATTCTAGGATTCAATAAAATAGACAAATATATTGATGAAAATAGGAGTCAGGTTTTTCACTGTTGGAGAAAGGAACTAAAAATATGAGAAGGGGAAGACTACAATGAGTCCTGCAGTGTAGGATTAGTGTGGTGGATTAAAGATTATTGGAAATTCTCTGAAACCTCTATTGGCAGATGGAATGTAATTCTCCTCTTGAACCTGTGTTGGCCTTGGTGATCTACTTGCAACTAATAAAATAGAGTGAAACTTATGCTGCATGTTTTCCAGGACTCTGTCAAAAAGAAGCCTTACAAGTTTCTCTCTTGGTTTCTTGAAATGAGACCATTCCAAGATCTCTTGAATGCTCCCTTCTCAAAGACCAGCAACCATGCTGTGAGAAACCCAAGCTGTGTGGAGATTAAAAATAGATAAATAAAAAACCCACAAAGTTTTAAAAGGCATTATACCAGATTGAATAAAAAGGGACAGAGATAATAAATTAAAAAGAAACTTTGAATCCTTAAACTTCTACAGAGAGGAAGCAGACTGAGAAAGCTACCTAGCTGCAGACATGGGCCATTGCTTATGGACAAGAAAGAATGACTCAGATGAAGGAATCCAAAGCCAGGAAAAATCATTCTCAGGGGGTAGAACTGGGTCCTAATCTAGGAACTAGCCATATGTGCCTGGCTGGATTTCAGAATCACTTCTATGTACCACCCGTTTTTCCTGTTTTTGAACAGGAGTATACTGTGGCTATCCTCTCTCTGTTTCACCTTTGTACTTAAGGAGCATCACCTGCACCTAGACTTGAGTGAGAAGGAATGAATACTGGACCTTAAGGTCCAGCCCAAGTCTGATTCCATAATAAATCTTTTAGGGACAAATCTATTTTGTATGTGGGAGAAATGTAAATAATTTGTGACCAAAGGCCAAACATTAAAGATGCCTGAAAATTATTTGGTACTCCTGTCATAGACAGATGGGGTGTAGATCCCCTACCTTTCAGTGTGGGCTCATCTTAATGGCATTCTACAGACCAACAGTATGCAGCAGAAGACCCTCTACATAACTTCTAAAGTTAGCTCAGAAGATTTCTTGCATTTTCTGCCTTGATTTCTCAAAATGTTCACTCTCTGGAATGGTGGAACCAGAGCACGTCTCTTAGTCCACAAGGTGGAAGCCATGTATTGAGAATGAGACAGAAGTAGGCTCTCTGGATACAACACTGATTCCCCATATCAGCTGTGAATTGCTTATGCTTGAACTTGCCTAATAAACTTTTAAAATGTAGTCACTCCTTTTGGCCATTATTACCGCAGCTCCACTTGTATCCCTAATAACATATGGTATAACTCCATAGTCCTGGCTGTACTACTTACTTAACGGTCTTTCCCCGGATAAATCACTTAATTTCTTTAAATCTCATTTATTTATTCAAATATATATTAAACACCTACTCTAGGCTGAGTACTGTGCTAGCTGCTATTGCAATGGAAATGACTATAACCTCATCCCTGCCAATCCCAAGAACTTCTAATCTAATGGGACAAGGTCAGTTTTAGTGTGATCAAATTGAAGGTAACACCAACTCTGCCCACCTCATAGGACTGTTGTAAAAGATCAATGAAGGTAATATAAACAATGTGAGCACCATTCAAAAGAGTAAGATGGAAATTTACTTTTTAGCTCATTCTGATCTGTATATGAACATAGTGTAACAATGAAGTTTTTTTAAAAAGCTATTTTAGGCTACAAGAATGGAACTACAGTTGAAATCAGGAGGGAAATAATCTCAAACTGCTGTGTAATGGCTCTACCCACACTCAGCAGGAGGGTAATGACACACAGGAGTGCACCTAGCAAAGGCTAACTAGGACAGCAACAGATTATTTAATACAAATGAAAGAAAAAGAAAAGAGAAACCCTTGTTGACAGTGACAACTGTGTTTAAATATGTGAAGAACTACTATATGAATGAAGGAATAGATAGTTCCAGAGGGTAGTATTACAATGTAATGGTCAACATTTTAAGAAGACAAAACTGAGCCTCATTATAATGAGATGCTTTTTGTAATACTCAAGAGTATCCAAAAATAGAACTATGTAATTTTTGAGGTTGTAAGCTCCTTGTCAATAAAGGTATTCAAAGGTGGGAAGACCAGATGTTGAGAGCATTGAAAAGACTTCTGTGAAAAGGTTATAAGGAGGCAGAATTCAATGAGTTCTAGACTTTGTTATACTTCAATGAACTCTTGAAATTGTCTGTTTTTAGGAGGCCCTTTTTCTCTCTATAGCAAGCCTCGTATTACAACAAATGAACTATTTTTATCCACATATTGTGAGTTTATACTTTTGTGTCTATCGTTGAATGTTTTTGTTTTCATGTCTAAGGCATAAGGAGATAACACCACAAAATATCATAAAGGTTAAAAAATGGTTTGCTTACCTTTGCTGATGAAACAATTTGCTTGGCCTGGCGTCTTGATAAGTGATCAATTGTCCTTATTAGCACTTCAGGATCTGCATTAGCTAAGTGCGCTAGACTTTTATAACCTGCATTGTATAACTGTTTTGCTCGACCCTGAAAAATATTACAAGTCAGTAGGATCGGAATTTGGAATTTGGAAAAAATAATTAAATGTCTTATTGAAAGGAAAAAATTCACATGCAAAAGATAGAAATATACTAAGATAATAAAATAAAAATGAAGAGGAATACATCAGAATCCTGAGGAATTTTAAAAGACGTATTTGGGTGGTTCCACATGACTGCAAGATAGTTTCTGTGTCCTTAAGTCAACTGATGTGCGCTGCAATCAGCAATGAGAAATCCATTATGGCACTTAGGCTGGGGGCATTATTTCAGTCACCAATCATAATGTTCTAGTCTAATAACCTTAAAATGTTCTTATCTACTCAGGGTACTATAGGTGTGTGGTGTGGTGTATGTGTGTGTGCGCCTGTGTCTGTATGTGTTCCCAAGCAGAAGAGGTCCTCTAATTCAAGAACTGAGTAACAGAGAATAAACTTAAATTAAGGGTTGGTCAAAACAGAAAGCTGAAAAACCAGCTGAGAATACTTTTTTCTCACTCTCTTCAAAAATGTAAATAAGCCTTGTTACCATTGAATCACCAATACCTTAAACAAGCAGGGAGTCTAAACAGACAAGGTAATTCTTCACTGGAGTGGAGGAAGGAAGAGATGCTAAGGATGAGCATATATACTTGGGGAATGTCATCTTATCCCGACTGTTATTTTTTTTTCACATTTGTGCTTCCAGATTAATGGGATTTCTAGGAGGCCATGGCAGCAATGTATTTAAAAAAAAAAAAAAAGACTGCCATGAGGCTGCTGTTGTCACTTACCCTGTGACAAGACTTCACACTCAGTTGAAATCCCCTCGACTGGGAAACTGGGAAGCTACTAACCTCTAAAACTCCAGTCACTTCCATGAGAGGGATTAGTTCTGCCTTTACACAGTAAGTCAGCTTCTTGGTAAGTTCTACCAAAAGGGCTCTATACACCCAGAATTCCTCAAGTTCCTGCAGAACACAAAGAAATACACAGAATTTAAATCCAGTCAGTCATTTCCAAGTTTAGTTTGCATGGTAGGGGCTCAGAGAGGATGCTCCCTTACGTTCTGGAATGTGGGTTAAGCCAGCAGTGAACAATAATTCCAAGCAAAATTATTATGAAGAAACATGGCAGAGACTCTGTCGACTCTGATGAAGTGGTTTTGGGATGAGGAAAGAAACTGAAAATAAGTCAGTAAGAAGAGTTCTATTTATTGTTATCAAAATCCAGCAGGTGAGTGCATAGCTTTTCTTCACCAAACGATTGGAAACAATTCCCGCTGAAGACAAAGTATTCATTGTGTAAGGATTCAAATGCAAGATGATGCTCAGTGCAACAACATTTAAAACAGTAAAAATATTGAAAGCCATGAGTCAATAACTGTTAAAGCTGAATGGGTAATAAGCATTCATTATATTACTTTGTCTTCTTTTATATATGCTTGAAATGTTCTATAACAGTTTATCTTTTTAAAGTCCCTTTCTAACCTTTGTTATCATTGTGAGAGCGTGTGATGCTTGGAGCAGCATTAGTTAGCACTTTGGGACCAGCAGGAAAGTAGTCAATGCACTAAGTAGAAGATATTTAGAAAGATATATGTGCTAAAATAATTATCATTCAATTCAAAGTCAAGTATTTTAGATTATTTATTCCATACTACATACGACAGAATTAACTGCCATATACATATAGAATGTGGAGATTTAAGATAGGGAAAATGAAGTTGATTTTAAGTTTAAAAATAGAGCTCATGGGGGAAAACATTTTTTAAAAATTGAGTACAGAAACAATATGAAAAGGATATTATGCCACCCAATAATAAATTTAAATGCAGCAAAATGACTTATGTTATAAATTTGTCAAAATAATTATCTGAATAGAAAAGTCTGGCAAGCTTTGTTGCATTACCCTAGGAAATTCTGAAAGCTTCTTTTAATAAAGTTAAATCCATCCCAAATTCATATGGCCAAAATAAGGTTTTCTCCTTGAATCACTTTATAAAATAGACATTTGAATAGACATTTGTTGCCCTGGCTGGTTTGGCTCAGTGGTTAGAGCACTGGCCCAAGGACTGAAGGGTCACAGGTTCGATTCCCAGTCACTGGCACATACCTGGGTTGCAGGTTCAACACTCCCCACCCCCCAGCAGGGCATGTGCAGGAGGCAACTGATTGATAAATGTGTCTCTTTCACATCAATACATCAGTGTTTCTCTCTCTCCCCTTCTCCCTCCCTTCCTTCCACTCTCTCTAAAAATCAATGGAAAAAAATGTCCTTGGTGAAGATTAACAAAAAATAAAATATAAAATGGACATTTGTTATAGAAACCTAAAGTAGCTGGCTGACAATAGAAGCAAAAATGGTAAATTACTGAGGCAATCTAAGGAACATGGTACTAAGTAGTTAAAAGTAGCTGTTAGATATTAATAACATACTAATCAAACATTTCACAGGAGTATCACTCATGAGAAGTACACTCACACAGAATCTATATCAGTGGAGAAACATCATTTTAAGAGCTGATTCCAAACATTTGAAACTATTAATGCTGGTTCTAAGAATAGAGATAACTAGGTGCTCTCTACTTGTTCATTACATACTTTAGTTGATTTTGTCATTTTTGTATCTTTACCGTAAGTATGTATACAGTATTTTTGTCAGCAAATAAAAACAAAAATATATTTTAAATAAATTCTGAGTGCTTTGTAATAACAGAATAAGTCAACGGTGACCAAATACTAACTGGCTTATGAATTTAGTAATAGTTAAAATAAGAAGATGCACAAAGCATCTGTCATCTGTTAATGGAATTACCTCACAGAAATGTAGCACACAAGATGAGAACGTGGCAGCTGCAGTGAGGAGACTTTGTATATATCCTCGAGGCATATTGAATTTTTCAGACACACTCCAAATGTTGGTCTCTTTGAGCAAGGTATACAGAACAAAAGACAGGTATAGTCTGTTCACAATGTCCTTGTCCACCTTCTAGAAAGACACAATCAAATAAATTTATGTATTGATCCTGCAAAAAATGTACATTACACTCAAATTGGGCAAAAGGTAAAGTGAATGAAATTGTGCTACAGGAGGGCAAGGGTAGAATGATTCATAGAAATAAAACTAATTTCTAACATATGCACCTTAGATTAAATTAAATGCATTATTGTTTTTCCAAGTATAAAGAAATATGCCAAATTGTTTCAAATTTAATGAAATTTCTTTCTACATAGAGTGTAGTAGGTTGAATTGTGTCTTACCAAAAAAAGATATGCTCAGATCTTAACCCTGGTACCTGTGAACGTGACCTTACTTGGGAATAGGATCTTTGCAGGTGTAATTAGTTAAGGATCTTGAGAGGAAATCATCCTGGATGTACAGTAGGTCCTTCAGTGCTCTTTATTTAATGTAAATTACAGTAGTTATTTTTTAAGTTCAACACAGAGAGCAACTGTCCTTTTAAGAAGAGAGGACACAGAGTGACACAGACAAGGAGGCAATGTAAAGATGGAGGCAGACATTGGAGGTATGTGTCCACAAGCCAAGGAAAACCAAGGATTGCCAGCAACCACTGAAAGCTAGGAGACAGGCAAGATGGTTTCTTCCTCAGAGCCTCCAGAAGTACCAACCCTGCCAGCACCTTAATTACCGTCTTCTGGTCTCCTGAACTGTGGGAGAATAAGCTTCTGTTGTTCTAAGACATCCAGTTTGACTTTGGGTAGTGAACACACAATACAATATGCAGATGATGTATTATAGAATTGTACACCTGAAGCCTATGTAATTGTATTAGCCAATGCCACCCCAATAAATTCAATTAAAAAAGAAAGACACCCAGTTTGTGCTAAGTTGTGGTGGCCACTGTAGGAAAAGAATATAGGAAGCGAGGGCATTGGGGAGAACTCTACATGTCCTGTGGTATTTAAAGGTTGTATATATGTGTGAATGTGATTATAAAGTAGACAAATGCATTTATTTAGATAAATGTATTAATGAGCTTGTCTACATTGTAAACTAAGAGTGAATATTGGTCTATGGTTTCTACATGGTCATGATAAGTAACTAATGTTTCCAAAGTTAAAACACTGAGAAAAACCCTCTCTGTAGTTGACAGTTTCTGGTCTGTGTAACTGCTGCAGCCTGTGGTGTCTATAACTACTTCTTCTGTACAGTAAAACCAGGGGGAAAAAGGACGAACTTGAAAGAGAAAAGGTGGGTATAGAATCTAAAATTACACCCTCTACTGCAGGAATAGAATGTTCGAGATAAGAACTTAGGCTGGCATGTTAAAGTATATATATGAATTAAGATTCTGAATATTGATGCTGGATCACCCATTTAAAAAGCATTAAGCTGCCCAGCTACTGTGGTTCAGCGGTTGAGCATCAACCTATGACCCAGGAGACTGTGGTGGGATTCCGGATCAGGGCATATGCCCGGGTTTCGGGCTCCATCCTCAGTAGGGGGCGTGCAGGAGGCAGCCAATCAATGACTCTCATCACTGATGTTTCTATCTCTCTCTCCCTCTCCCTTTGTCTGTCTGAAATCAATAAAGATGGGGAAAAAAAAAGCATTAAGCTAAAGAACATGATAATTGAATAAAAAGTAGGAAAAGATCATTTTTTAATTTCCCAGTTTTGATGCACCTTCATTATTAAACATAAATTGAGTCAATGTAGATTTTGTTCAACATGCATCTTCTAAATCAAGAAAAATGTTAAAATTATATTACAGGGCAAGATAAAATGCTTTAAGCCAATTTCAAGATCTTTTATAAGAAATGTTTGAAGAAAAGGGGGAGTAGTCTTTTTCAACATGGAGAAATCTATTTATTTATTTATTTTTAATATATGTTCTCTAGAATTATAAATAATGATACTTTCATCAATTGAATAAACATTTATTGACTGTAATTCATAAAATGTAACAAAAATAAATTTTGATGCAAGTTTAAGAAGAATTATTATTTCAATAAGATTTTCTGAATGTTTATTATTTGGTAATATGTTGAAAATTAACATGATTTTTAAAATATGATTTTGTTTTTATTTTATATTATAGAGTTGGTTATAAAAAGCTTGAAGAAATATTTTTAGTCAACATTTTGAAGATCTAATCAACATAGCCATTTCTAAGGTGAAAGACTCAATCTCAATATTGTGACAACATGAATATTGAAGTACTGTATATTTATAACATCTATTTATAATTTTTTGATACAGCAATACATGGGAGAGTTGCACCATTCAATTCAAATGAAAGTAACACCACCTTCTGTTTTTCAAAATAAAATCAGTAATATCTATGTAAATTTAAAAGATAGGAGAAAATAGTAGGTAGATAATTAGGTTTCAATGAAGTTTGGATTATCAAAGAAAATTAAAAATGAAAAAAAGTGTATATTATGAGGTGGAAAATGATATTAACTTAAGGAATTTGGAGGCATGTTACCCAAAGACTTATTTCCACTTCTCTTAAAGTTAGTATATGCATTAGACACTTGAGTCATGCTTGTTGATTGAACTTTAAAACCCCAAAATATAAAATATCAAACAAAAGAGTATTAGCTTATCCACTTCACCCTTCTAAAATGCTTTATGTATGTCAAATACTAGATTGGAAGTTCTTTGAGGACAAAGGTCAACACCAATAATAAAAACCCTAAACCTGCCCTGGCTGGTTTGGCTCAGTGGTCCAGGTTCGATTCTGGCCAAGGGCATGTACCTGGGTTGCAGGCTCGATACCCAGCCCCAGCTGGGGTGAGTGCAGGAGGCAACCAATTGATATGTCTCTCTCTCATCGATGTTTATCTCTCTCTCTTCCTTCCACTCTTTCTGAAAAACAATGGAAAAAATATCCTCGGGTGAGGGTTAAATAAACAAAACAAAAACCCGAGAGCTGTCCTATCTTAGAATCTTTGATACCAAGTGGAATGCCTAATAAAAAGTTTCTAGAAAATATAATTTTCTCCCTTGAATTGACTTTATTTCAGGATTACTTAATATCATAAAAACATTTTATAAACATTTTACAATTTTTATAATGTAAGTGGTAAGTAGCCTAGGAAAAAGTAGATTAGTAAGGTTTACTTTTCCCTATGATAAAAGACTTACATGGACATGACAGAATATTTTAGAATACAAAAGTACAAAAAAAGGCTATCATACCCCAACAGTTTTTTAAAAATGCCTAAATTTCTGGTCCTTAGATGTTTTAAATAGTAAAATGGGAATTTAATTTAGAGAGAGAAAAAAGTGAAACAAAAAGATTAAGTCAACAAAGGTGATGATACAATAGCATTAATTTTGTTAAATGAACTTATTTAGGAAGGAAAGAAAAGACTGTGGTACCTTCTTGATAGCTTGACCTGATGCCTTCTTCCCAATATAGTTTTCAGAGACTCCGACGAGAGCAGCCACATTTTGTTCTGCTGGACTGAGCTGGTTAAACTACATAGAAAAAGAGTAACTATATAGAAAAATCTAATTGTAACTTTAAAAAATGCCATTTGAATGAAATCTAGTATTTTCTATGATATCACATTTTCAAGTTTTTAAAGGATATGAAAAAACAACACTATTTACAAATATTGCAAATTTTAAAATGTTGTTAAAATATAACACACTTTAAGTAGAATTACTTTAAGTGGAATTACTTAAAGTCATGGTCACAAGTATTGTGTAACATTGGAAGATGTCTTGGGGAGGGGGCAGGGAGAAGAGGAAAAGTAACTTTTGAAAGTAACTGCATTATATATTACTGGCTAAGAAAACTTATAGGGATAATTTTAAAATATGACACTAAAAAGAAAGTTAATTTCCTGCAATTAATAGTTGCATACTACTTCTGCCTAATATGTGTTCATGCATCTATCCTGTTCACAGTAAAATCATAATAAGACTATACCACTTGCTTTTGTAATATAGGGACAGTTCCACCTTGCGATACAACTGATATTCCTTCTTAGTTATTAATAGTATTGGGTTTGGTATATCATCGTGCTTGGCCCTGACAAAGCTTTGGTATAATTAAAATCCCAATTATCAGAGACAGCCTTCATGGTTTCCTTTAGATCCTAGACATTATAAAATGCAGTGGTCACCATATTAGAGCGGTAACTATCTTTGGGGAAATGGAAACAGGGATGATCCTTTTTTCTTTTTCTGCACCTTTATTTTTTTTTATAATGACAGGTTTATACTTAACAGAAAAGTAATATTTAAGTTAAACCAAAAATGCTATTGCCATATTACTACTTAAAAAACAGAAAGAATTAAAGGCCCAATTTCAAATATATTTTAATAGAAAAAGTGAATAATCACTTGATAAAAATCATAACATCATTAATAGTCTAAGTGGCGTATACTGAAGAACCTTATATGCTCACCTGTTTGAAGTATACCATCCAATCAGGGTCACACTGAGAAGCCATATCATAGGGAGTGGTCAGGTAAATTAGATGAAGAAGGCTTTCAAGCACAAGGCCTTCAAGACCTTGCTTCAAATCTCTGTAGAGAATGTCACAATAAGCCAAATCTATAGTTCCTAAAAGACACAAGTATTTCATCTTTCATAATTACCAAAGGGTTGGAAAGAGGTGATTTTAAAGAAAGTCTTGTTTAGAAGTTACCTAAATATAGCAAACAGTAATAAAAATCTCTTATTATGTAATTTAGCATAGCTATTTTGGAGGTCATTTTGATAGTATCCATCAACATTTAGTAAGTACATACCTTCTGACCCAACTACTCTATTTTTGGGAATCTAATCTAGAACATTTCCACATATATCCAAAATGCATGAATAGAGATGCCTATGTAGCCTTGTACATAAAAAAATTTGTTAGGAGATATATATATATACACACATATATATATGTAATTGCTAACTGTGGTAGCCCCTGGGAGAGTGGAAATGGGACAGGAGTATGGGATTTTCCTTTACATAATTCTGATTCCTAAAGATTTTTTTAACAACAGACATGTATTATTTTTCATTAAGTAAATTAGGAAGCAGCCATTAAAAAAGAAACTATTCACTGTCATGTAACAATCTCTAAGATATTATATTAAGCAAAAAAAGCAATCATCTATATTGTTCCAGAATAATATTGTTCTAGAACAATACAGATGATTGCTTATTTAAAAACAAATGCTTAAAAAAAAAATCTTAAACCTGTATATATCTATGTATTATGCATTGAAATGAAATATACAGAAACTGTCTGGAAAGATATACACCAAATTGTTATTCTTGGTAGGATATAAGATTTGTGTGATTGCTGTGGCAGGGGAGTGTGAAGTGATGAACATCTTTTCTCTATATACTTCTGCAATATTCTAAATGACTTATAATTCAAAACATTTTTCCACTTTTTGAAGTTCATAAAATTAATGTTATTGCCCTAGCCGGTTTTGCTCAGTGGTTAGAGCATTGGCCTGTGGACTGAAGGGTCCCACGTTTGATTTTGGCCAAGAGCATGTACCTTGGTTGCAGGCTTGATCTCCAGCCCCTGCAGGGGCCCGTGCAGGAGGCAACCAATCATTGTCTCTCTCTCACATAGATATCCCCCCCCCACTCTCTCTGAAAAGCAATAAAAAAAATTCTCAGGTGAAGATGAAAAACAAACAAAAACAAACAAGCAAAAATAGAAGAAAAAATATGTTATTAATATGAAATTATAAATCCAATTTAAAGTAACAGAATACTTTAATTTCTATTTTTTCCAATGCATTTCCTCAGATTTAGGTAAAATAAGATTTTTTAAAAATTTATTTTAGGTAAAACAAAATTTAGGTAATCTATTACCTTTAAAAGAAGCTCGTCCCAACTTTGTGATATGAAAACTATACTGGAACCATTCTTCGGATTTATAAATAGCGTCTTTTTGTGTGAGTTCTTTTTCTGTCAAAATGTTGTCTTTCTGTAGGAGTCCCTTTTCTGTCAGGTATCTAAGTGATTCGACAGTTATTTCCCAGAGAGTTTTTTCTTTCAACAAAATCTTTTGCTGAACACCAAAAAATGTACCACTCATAAAATGATATATGTCACCAAGATTTGTTGCAATCTGAAACAATTCAAGACATCATTGGAGCATTTTCCTTAATTCAAGACATCATTTTGAATATACATTACGATGATAATTCATTTCCATACTTCAAAGGTATTTAAATGAAAAATTAGTATAAAATCTACATACTGCATATATACAGAGGTAATTTTATAATGGCATTTTAAAATTAACAAGACAAAACATTTTAAGGGAGAAGAAAGTTACCATATTCAAACTAGTTATGAAAACATCTATACACACACACACACACACAAATTCCTTAGGTTTTTGAATAATTTTTCACAGTATCTCCAAAGCTGTGCTCTGTTTATTCCTCAATTATCACTAATTCGCCCTCCACCTCCTTCAGAAATCCTTCCATTGCCCCTTTACAGCCACCTATGAAAACACTCTAAAAATTTTATTAAAAAGAAATGAAGAAACACATGGAAAACACAACTGAAAATCTCCACTGAAACAGAATCAGGCAATACTTTCCCTGATATATTACCTAAAAATAAATAGCAGTTTTCTACCTCTTTTTGTCTCATTTCTATCTTTTTTTCCTGCCTTTTCCTCTCTCCTCCTCTTATTCACTATTTAAAACTTTCAATGGCAATCATTAGTAATACTTAACCCTCCATTTGGTAATGAGATGTAGAGTTGACTCTGAATTAGAATAATTTCATATTAGGCAATTTCAATGAAGTCAGCATATTATACTAAACATAGTCAATCAATAAGCAGATTTCTCTCTCACAATTCTGATAATATTTCAACTGGACAACTTAAGTAGTCATTTCATAATAAACCAATATAAAGAATAACAAAAAATTTGGAGCACAGACATTTCTTATTGCTTCTCCTTTTAATAAAAATCATTCTTAATATAGTATTCAATTAGGCTAAAATTGCACTTTAAGATATTCTAGAACTGATACTCAATTTATCAATGTACTTTGTTTCTATATTGTTTTCTACTTGGTTAACTACAGTTAACACTAGGGGATAAAAAACCAACAAAGTTTACCTGGTCCTTCTAGCTACCATGATGTTACCTTTCTACCCCTATGTGAAAAACTTTTAGACATAGTGATTTAAACCCACTAGGCTAGCCTCTGCCTCTGGCCTCCACAGCCTCTCAAAACTGGATTCTCCACTGCTGCCCCAACCTGCAAGTGCAATCACGCCCAACTCCCAAGTCAATCCATTAATTCAAGCATTTACTGAATTACATCCACACGCCAGGCACTGTGTGAGATTCAATGATAAATGAAAATAAATGTGGACCCTGCTTTCACAGGACTTACATTCCAGTGGGGTATGGTCGTGATTCTTTAAAGTATACAATAGACTGACTAGATTCAGAGGCACAGGGAGGCTTCCCTGAGAAAACAATGGTTAAGTGAAAATCTGAAGGCTGGGTGGGAGTTAACTAGACAAAGTTGTGGGTGAACATAAACTGCATGAAAGGTTAAGAGCACTGGTTTTGTGTTCAGACAAAGCTGAATTCAAACTCTGGCTTTGCCACTTTGTGGCAGAGTCACCCTGGGCACAAAGTTGAAATTTACTTAAGAATAATCCTACGTATGGATGGACTTGGAGAAAATTATGCTAAGTGAAATAAGCCAGGCAGAGAAAGACAAACATCACATGATCTCGCTTATATGTGGAATCTAAAGAATTTAATAAACTGATGAACAGAATAGATTTAATGACATGAAAGCATGGATCAGACTGACGAATGTCAGAGGGATGGAGGAGGGTGGGTAGGTGGAGGGGGAGAGAGTAACCAAAGAATTTATATGCATATATGCACAACCCAAGGACATGGACAATGGTGGGGAGAGGGACTGGGGTGGGGTGGAACGGGTCATTGGGGAGAAAAAGGGACATCTGTAATATTTTAAACAAAAATAAAATTTAAATAAATAAATAAATAAATAATAATCCTAAAAAGAAATTTAACTCAAGAGTAAGCCTAAAAAGGAGAGCTAATTTCTAGCCTCAGGAAAAGAGTATTTTCCTGTCGTGCCCTTTTAAATTTTCTGCCTGATAAAAGCTATACTTATCTCACAAATGTTTAAAATATACTAGAATGGTCATAGGATTATCATTGAACCTCGCTCTTAATAAGGGCTGAGATGCAGGATGCCCAGTTATGATTTGTTGATATCTCATATTCTTTACAACTCGAAGATTAAAAATGCACATATAAATCCAGATTCAGATTTATGTCACAGACTGTTCTTTTACACATCAAATTAAAGTTAATACTTTCCATACTTTATAGTTATCATAACTCCTTAACCTCTATTATCTCAGGTAACAGTAATAAGATTTAAAAATATTAAAAGATACCTTCAAACCAATTAATGAGAGAAACAGAGTTTGGATTCCCTTGGTGAATTCTTGAACAAGATGGCTGTAACAGTTTTCCAGTGGTCTGCTTATTAACTCCAATACCTACAAAAGTTAAAGCAGTACCTGTATTATGTTTTGTGTTATTATAAAGAATAAATGGTGTTCTGTATAAAATGTTATATTTTGTGTATATATTGTGGAGGCAGGGGAAGATAAAAAACCACAAAGACAAAAAATAAAAGAATTTGATGCTCATGAAAACAGAAGATAAATAGGAAAAATACTTTTCACTGTTTGCCTAAAATACAAAAGTATTCAAACTACTCTTTCTAATTCTTAATCACAGAGGAAACATTATTTAAAGAAATATTAATTTTTTAAATGTTTTTATTGATTTCAGAGAGAGGAAAGGAGAGAGAGACAGAAACATCAATTAGAGAGAAACATCGATCGGCTGCCTCCTGCACATCCCCTACTGGGGATCGAGCCTGCAACCTGGGCATGTGCCCTGACCAGGAACTGAACTGGAAATCTCCTGGTGCACGGGCCAACACTCAACCAATGGAGCCATACCTGTCAGGCAATATTTAATTTTTAAAAGATGATCTCATAAAAGGGTAGGAACAAAACCCAAAAAAAGACAAAACAACCAACCAACAGCCAAATGGAGTGTTACCTGTTGCTTGTCTTTTTCTTGCAATATAAGGATACTCTCCCCGGCAGAATCTATTCCAGCACGGCCAGCTCTGCCAATCATCTGTTTATACTGATTTCTTTTTAAAAATTCCTTAGCAACATAGGGGGCTCTCAAAATAACTCTATGGAATTGATAAAATTAATTAAAAGTTATACTCCATCTATAGCAATAGCACCTATTTTTTAAATTTTAATTTCATTATATCTATGTGATATTAAATTTAATGACATATTAACTTAAAATAATAGATAACTACTATTTACCAAAAATCTATAATGTCCTAAGTTCTTTATATACATTATCTGTAATTCTTACAAAACTCTTTGTAATAATATTCTATTTCATTTTTTTACAAGGGGCTAATTGGCTTACCTCAATCCAGAGAATTAGTGATTACCCGAAACATAACTGAATTCAAGTCTGCTTAGCTGCAAAGCTTATGACCAATCCACTATAGCAACAGATGCAAAGATTTTTTATTTTATACTCCATAAATGAAAACTCTCACCATGTACCACCAACATATGCATATTTATTTATGAATTTATATTATTGTCAACCAAGTAAAATTGCAGATTTCAGCTGTTTCTGACTTAAAGCAGGGTGACTTGATCCTACTCATGCATGTAGATGTCTACTGTAGCCAGCTTTCCTGTTCAAGGGTGAAAGAAAAATCTATGGTATTTACCTATACTGAGCAACCAACTCCTTTATAAATCTCAATGAACGGCCTAGATTACCAAGCATCTGAAGAAAACTAATGACGTAACAGAAAAACAACAAGAACATAAAGAAAAAATGTCTAACAGAAACAGATAACACAGGATACAGAAAAGAACTTAAATTCTAATAAGTATCCATAGAAAATCCTTGAGGGTATTGTATTCAAAGTATGACAGCAGACTTCATTAAGAAAGAGCAATAAAAGAAGAGAGTTACTGGAAATTAAGGAAAAATGTTAAATTCATTTTATTTTATTTTTTTTAATTTTTAAAAAATATATCTTTATTGATTTCAGAGAGGAAAGGAGAGAGAGACAGACAGACAGAAACATCAATGATGAGAGAGTCATTGGGGATTGAGCCCACAACCTGGGCATGTGCCCTGACTGGGAATAGAAACCCGATCGCCTGGATCCTCAACTGCTGAGCCATGCCCGGCCGGGCTCATTTTAAAAATTCAATAGAAGAACTGAATGAATACACATAGTTAATGACGTACAGTGAAAAACTGATTTTGTTATATAGAAGGTAAAGTTAAAGAAATCACATAACTCAGATAGATTGAAAAAATGTGTAAGAAAAGAGATAAGAAAACTCAATCTAGAAAGTTCCAGCCCTGCCTAAATGAAGTTACAAAAGCAGAGAACTGAGATAATAAAAGGAAAAAAATAATAAAATAACAAAAAAATTAAGATATGAAAGGCATAAAACTTTAAATTGAAAGCATATACCCAGTGCTAAGCCCTATGAATGAAAAGTAGCTACAATGGAATAGTTGGGATTGTAGAATGTTTCCCAGGTTCAAATCTTGGCTTTGAAACTCATTTGTTAGGCATGAAGTTGGGCAAATTTTTTAATTGTTCAGCATCTCAGTTTTCCCTTCTATAAAATGGATAATAAAACATGACCTTCCTCAAAGAGTTGTGAGGCTCTATTAAGTCAATGCATGTAAAGCTATGACATGAGGGAGGGAGTGTAATGGCTGCAATTACTATTATACACTATAACAAAATTTTAACATTAAAGAGACAAGTCTAAAGGGAAAGGGAAAAACAGCAAACCTACACAAAAACAAAAATGAACAATGAACAACACTGGCTCCTAAAAGATAAGAAACAATACCCTAAAGTCCCCAAGGAAAAAAACTGAACCTAAATTATAGCAAGGTGTTAAAGTGTGAGACTAAAATAAAGACATTGTAAGCTATGCAAAGACTCAAAAAAATTTATCCCAATATAACACTTAAACAATAATTACTCAAGGATGGCAAAAGAAAAAGTGAATCACAGAAGGGAGGTGTGGGATACGAGAGGCAGTGGTAATTCAGAAAAACCCAAAAAACAAAAAATCAAGGATAATATACAGGTAAGTTTAAATCGTTACCGATTATAAAATGAAAAAAAATTAAAAATCTGGAACTAAAATTTTAGTTAATTGCAACATATATGGACGAGGCAGTGTAAGAAGATATATAAATGGTAAGACTCATGTTCAAGAGAATATAATTATTAATTCTACAATGATAGAAAAACATATTTGATTACACTGTTAAAATTTTAACAGTTGGCTCTAGCTGGTTTGGCTCAGCGGTTAGAGCATCAGGCCTCAGTCTGAAAGGTCCAAGGTTTGATTCCGGTCAAGGGTGAGTACCTCGGATGCAGGCTCAATCCCCAGCCCCCAGCTGGCTAGTGTGGGAGGCAACCAATCCATGTGTCTCTCTCACACTGATGTTTTTCTCTCTCTCTCTCCCCGCCCCACTTCCTCTGAAAAGCAATGGAAAAAATATCCTTGGGTGAGGATTAAAAAAAAATTTTTTTAACAGCTGGGATAAAAGAAACAGGATATATAACTTCCTATTTTTTTCGAAAACTAAATCAATAACAGGTTTAAAATAAAAGAATGGGAAAAGATACACTTGGCAAAAATATGTAGGCCTCGTATTCAAAGCAAAATCACTAAGTTAGAAAAATAAGGACCTATTATATTGATACAAGGTATAATTCAACAATAAGATATTTGGAGTAAACCCTTTTATACCTAAATAGTTTTGAAAGACAAACACTTCTAGAAATGCAAAAAGGAGAAATTGACAACTTCACAATTAAAGGGGAAGACTAACACATCTCTCTGAAATTGATGGATTAAAGGATCACAAATAGTAAGAAAACAGAGGAGCCGGTAACATGATTAATAACTGTGATGTCGCCCAGCTGGGCACGGCTCAGCGGCTGAGCATCAACCTAGGATCCAGGAGATGTCAGTTTGATTCCCGGTCAAGTCACCTGCCCGGGTTGTGGGCTTGATTCCCAGTGAGGGGCATGCAGAAGAAGGCAGCCGATCAGTGACTTTCTCATCTGATGTTTCTATCTCTCTCTCTCCCTCTTCCATCCTTTCTCTGAAATCAATAAACGCATATTTTAAAAAAACAAATAACTGTGATCTCATTGAGATACAGAAAACTGCACACTCAACAGAAAACATATTTTTTTTAACACTCATGGATGGTTTTTAAAAATTGACTATCTGAAAAAAGTCACAAAATTTTAAAGTCACAAATTCTAAAGAACAGAAATCAACTATGCAGGCCACAGCTTTAGTAACTGAAAAGGTAATCAAGGATTTACTCTAAGAACAGATACTGGACTCAAAAGTCTCTATGGATGAGTTCTCTAAAGTTTCAAGGAAATCCCTATGTTAAATAAAAGCTTTCATATGATAAAAAATGGTGGAAAGCTTTCCAGCTGTTTCTACCCAAGCAGGATAATAAACCTTGACATCAAAACCAGATTGGGAGAGCACAAAAGGAAGAAGAAATTTTAATACCAAGAAAACTACTAATATTATTTTTTCATTAAAATATTAAAGGAAATAAACCAATCAACTCAGCAAATACTAAAAAAAACCCAACCCAACACACAATAAATTCTCACCCACTGCCAATAAAAATAACAAAAATTTAAAAACTGGCAAGTGAGGAATGGAAAAGTTTTGAGCCTGGGCAACAGTGACTAATATCTCACCTTCGAGCTGGCAGGTTAACACCTGCCGCTAGTGTAGATGTGCAGGTTAAAAGGCAGAGAACTCCAGCGGAATAGGCCTCCTCCAAGAGCTTCCTCTCATCATTCGTTAAACCACTATGGTGATAAGCAACTCCTAACGGGAGAGTGCGCTTTAAAACTGGACACAAGTTGCCATTGCTGATATTCTTCAAGTTCTTAATCACCTCCTGTTTTTCTTTTTCCCTGTGTTTCAGATATTCCCTAGGAAAAAAGATCTGTTAGAAATATGAACCCTGACCTTATAGTGACAGTGCCTATAATTTTAATTTTAGTAGATGCAGGAAAATATCCTTTTAAAAAATATTGATTTTAGTGATATAAGTACATAAAATGCTCTTAGAATTTTGATTCTGATTTCACTATTAGGCACTTTCAACCTTTTTTGTGGATCACAGAGCACTGTGAAAATTTGATTAAAGCTAAGAAAAATACACATGAATATTCACATAAACACACTTTGCATTTAATTTCAGAGGGTTCATGGACTTCCTGAAGTTCATTCCTGTACTTCCTATGAACCCATGGAATACCAGGTTTAGACTCCTGCTCTAGATGCTATGATTATTGTTTTCACTAGATCACATATCTTTATTAAAGATGATTTATTTTAAGTCATACATTTACTTCTCTTAATATGGAAACATATTATTAAATCATATGTAGTATATTTAAAATACTGACGGTCTGGACACTAGCATTTTAGAAACCTCAATAATATCCTACAATGTCTCTGTATCTAGAAGCACCTATTATTTTAAATTCCATTAAGAAGAGAGAAAGGAAAGAAAGATTACATAGAAATAACTGCCATTTGACTATAAAGTAACAACTTTTAAATACCAGTAGCAAACACATATCATCCAAAATATAAATATAATACACACAGCCCTGTGTTGTTTGGCATGCTTCATGGAAAGAATAGAAAGCTCTGGCTGGTGTTCATTGAAGAACTCCAGTAATTTCATAAGAAGTCGAGAAATGGGAGGCAAAGAGACAAAAGAAGAACAATAAAGAATTGGGAAGAAACTGGTCAAAAGTCCTCAGTGCAAGAATTAGGAGGGACAGCTTAGTAGGGGAGCAGCAGACTTTCTGTTGCTATTTTCCAGCCAGTGTGCAAGGTCCTGACAGGGATGTATAGGATGAACACTTCTCAAGGAATTCAGTCTCGTAAGCAGTGAGAGTGTGGACAATCAGCATATAACTTTAGAGAAGGGAGACATTACTTATAACTGACCAGATAAGATATGGCTGTATGAAGAATGGCTGTGGGAGAACTTGAGATCTGAGCTGGGTCTTGAACAGGTGTTGGAGAGGCGGCAGTGAAGGGGCAGGGAAGTGCATTCTTGGCAAAGGGTAAAGCGTGATGGAAGGCCTGAAAACGGGGAGTTCAAAGCATAAACAAAGAAGAGAAGCAGTCCAGTTGGATGACTAGCAGGGTGAATAAAGAGTAAAAGAAACAGGATGGAAAAGTAAGCTGAACTAGATCTTAGCCTGAATTCCAAGCTAAGAAGCACTGAGGTATCATTTTTAGGGAAATTTTTTTAGGGAAAGTGATATGACCAGAGCTTTGGCAGTTTCAGGAAATAGTGTTTAAAAGACATTCTTGTCTGGCCGGTGTGGCTCAGCAGTTGAGCACTGACCTATGATCCAGGAGACTGAGATTCGATTCCTGGTCAAGGCACATGCTTAGGTTGTGGGCTCGATCCCCAGCACAGGGCGTGCAGGAGGCAGCCCATCAATGACTCTCTCTCCTCATTGATGTTTCTACCTCTCCTTCTCCTTTCCTCTCTTTCTGAAACCAATAAAAATATATTTAAAAAAATAAAAGACATTCTTTAGATTTCACTTATGTGTGAATCTAAAAAACAAAATAAATGAACAAGCAGACTGGAAACAGACTCATAGATACAGAGAACATTTTGAAGGTTGCCAGATGGGAAGGGGCTTGGGGAGATGGGTGAAAAAGGTGAAGGGATTAAGAAGTACAAATTGGTAGTTACAGAATAGTCATGGGATGTAAAGTTCAGCATAGGGAATATAGTCAGTAATACTCTAATAACACTGTATAGTGTCAGATGGGGCACCGGATTTATCGGAGTGATCACTTAGCAAGTTATATAAATGTCTAATCACTGGGTAGTACATCTGAAATTAGTATAATATTGTATGTCAGCTGTAATTGAAAAATTTAAAAAATATTTAAAAAATAAAAGACATTCTTGACTAAAAGTCAAAGGGAGTAACAGCTACAAAAAAGATGATAATATTCCTTGAAACTGAAACAATCACTAGGAATTATCTGCTTCAGTCTTTGCATTTAAATACATGTACAGCTGCATTCTACTGCCCAGGGGTGTGGAGTGGAGGAGGGGGGAGGGGGTTACTATATCTGCTTCCCACAAAATTTATGATAAGGAGGCAAATAATTAAGATACAAGCTGATATCCCAGGACTCTCAAGAAACCATGTTTTAAAGCCACTATTGAAATAAGAACCCATTTAGCCCTAGATTTCACTTCATCTACATCTAAATTACAGAATGTAAAAAAGCACTCTCTCAACATGACATTTTAATCAACAGCCACCAAAAAGGGGCTAACATATACTCAGAACATTCAGTTTACACAAGCAGCAAGTAATATGGAAAATACAGCTCAGAGGAAATTTTCCTTTGGAAAGAAAGTGTTCACTCCTATCTCTTTAGGAACTTATCAAGTGTCCATTACAATCCATTAACTAAGGGTTCTGGAGAAGCATATTTTTAAATGCTTCAATATTAAACAAAAACATTTATGATCCAAATAAACATTATCATCTGAAAGTAAAATAAGTCAAGGTTATAACTTATAACTTCGTCCCCAGTAAACTGTTAGTCTCTAAATTTCTGTTACTTAGCCAGTGCTATGTTACCTTAAATTATTCTAAGAAAGTGAGCAATTTAATTTCCCTTAGGCTTTCATAATTAACATCATCATTGTACAGGCACACTATCAGTTACAAAAGGGGAAACTCTGTATCTTTGTGCTATTCAATAAATTTAACTCGCCAGGCCGGGCATGGCTCAGCGGTTGAGCGTCGACCTGGGATCCAGGCGATCAGGGTTCGATTCCCGGTTGGGGCACGTGCCCGGGTTGTGGGCTTGATCAATGACTCTCTCATCATTGATGTTTCTATCTCTCCCTCTCCTTTCCTCTCTCTGAAATCAATAAAGATATATTTAAAAACAAAAATATAAAAAAAAATAAATAAATTTAACTCTATTTTAGACCAATCCACAACAGTAGGACTGGGAAGGGAGTGGAAGGATGACTAAATTAGAATCCAGGGTAATGGTCTGTGAATAGTGATACAGTACTGGCTAAGGGGCCAAAGAGAAGTCTGAAAAAACAGTAAAACCACACATGGGACAAAAAGGTGCAAAAAACTGCTGTTCATATTTAAAATCACATTACACTTATCTCTGTGAGTATAACAGAGCCAATATTAAAATATTATAAAATTACAAACCAATAAATTTCTTAATTACTTAGGAAATTCAATTTAAATGTTCACACGACTTAAGTGTGAAGCTTACTAAAAAAACAAAAGCAACAGTATCTAAAGAGAAAATTAAGCTGAAGATATGATTTATCCCCATAGTAATTACAGTGATTAGTCCTTTGGCCATCTAAGCTAGTGGTTCACCTTTGCTGCAAGTTGGATTTGCCTGGGGAGCTTCACAGAATGATGCCAGGGTCCCACCCCCAGAGACTCTGATTTGTCTAGGATGTACCTTGGGCACTGGCATTTTTAAAAGCCCCCAATTCACTGTGCAGCCAAGGTTGAGAATCATTAGCATTCTCTTACATGTAGTCTTAGAATTTTTCTCTGGCTCTTTCACATATGTGAATTTCATAGTTAAACTTTCTTCAAGGTCAAGGCCTTTGGAATCTAGTATAACAACTTAACATAATGTTCTACAAGAAGTAATTAGTGCTTGTGAATAAACAGAATACAGAGCATGTAAATTGTGACAAAAATAAAACAATAAAATATTTTTAAAAGATTAACCTACCTGCTTAAAAATGTGCATATCATTTCTGCTACGTTTTCACAGTTCTTCTTAGTTGGACAAAACACTAAGCAGGAATTATTGGGAATAACTTCTGTCACCAATGCTACCAAGTGATCAGGATCCATCTTCTTCAGAGTATCAGAATACTGTATAACAAGATATAGCAACAAGGTAGTTAGCAACCATAAAAGCTTTGAAACATAAGTAAATCATACATAAATTTGAATTTCTGATTTAGTAAGTCTGATCATTTAAAAGAAAAAAAGGAAACCTATATTACACATCAAAATGTTAAGTCTCACTTTTCTCTTAGGTGATTAGGATTTTGTTAGGTATATTTAGTTTTATTTATTTTATGCTTTTATTTTATTTTAATATATCTTTATGGATTTCAGAGAGAGGAAGGGAGAGGGAGAGAGAGATATAGAAACATCAATGATGAGAGAATCATCATTGGTTGGCTGCCTTCTACACACCTCCGACTGGGGATCGAGCACACAACCAGGGCATGTGCCCTGACCGGGAATTGAACCACGATCTCCTTCATCCTAGGTTGATGCTCAACCGCTGAGCCATACCTGGCTGGGCGGTATACTTAGTTTTAAATTAAAGAAGTGAAAATAGTTATGCTATTAATAACTCCACTGCATGCTCATCTTCATCAAAGCAGTACAAAGAAGTCCACAGAGAGAAACACAGGTTGATCCTATTAATAGTCAAAGGACTGCACAAATAAGATATATCTTTAACTATTACTACTAGTTTTAAAAAACATACTACAGGGCATTTTCAGAAATAAAAAATATATTTATCAAGCAGATGTAAGGGACTCAAAGGACATGAAAAATGTAAAGTTATTTAAAATCTCACTTCCTTTGACTTTCTGAAAACTAATTATGAGTTAGAATTTGCAGAATTCTAAAACTTGTAAAATCCTTCTCCCCTTTTTAATATCCTTTATATGTCATAAAACATTAACATACTAGACATTAATATTTTCATACACCCCATATCTGAATTAAATAGCCCACAAATGTTTCTTTTTGCTGTTGATAAATGAATAAACACTTAAGGAAGAGATCTCCAAATTTTCTTGGTTCATGGAGCGCCAAGGCTAAAAGAATTATCTACCAGTTTCATTTATTGAGGAGTTAGGTCTAAACAAGTTAATAAGTATATATTTCCTCACAACTTAGTAGCTGTCTGCACAAATAATATACATCAGTTGAATAAAAAATACGTTTATGTCATTCTTAAATAACCACCACAGCTCACCAACGGGATGTGTGCACAACGGGGCACTGCAGCCTTTCGAGCCTTGGAATTAGATGAAATGTAGCTACATTTATTTCTTATCCCATGTTGATTTTCACATGGTTTTTGCTTACAGTAACTGCAAAAAAACCCCAACTTCACAAAGATATGATATCATAGAAAGGAATGTAGTGTGACCTAATGTTGAAAATAGAAACTAACTACCTTGAGCCAGGAGTTTGTATAGGGTCCAACAGATTTCAAACATCAGAGATTTCTCTCAAAAATCTAAAATTTTATATTCCATGGTACCCAAGTGAATCTTCTGTGGTGCCCCAGAGCACCTGGGCACAAAATCTGGGAACCTCGGGTTCAAGGGTTATTAACGTTACCTTAAAATTAAGGAGACGTGAAAAAGTCATGCCATTCTCAGCTTTGCTATCAACCTCATATATTGCATCATTTATTTTCACATATTCTTTTAATTCAACCTTGAATTAAAGGGACATTGCAATTAATAACACATATAAGTTCATTTTCCACAGTTATAAATTTTCTAAAATATGTTGTAAAAAAGGAAACCTATACAAAAATTTTAGCTTTTCTAAGGTATATAAAACATGTTTTAACTTAAAAGTATTTTCTTTACCATTTCTTTTGTCTCTTTTCCCCTTTAAATAAAAATAGGGATTAATATCCTTAAATTATACTTTTTTAATTTAATTTTTAATCCTCACCTGAGGATATTCTTTCCATTGCTGTTCAGAGAGAGTGGAAGGGAGAGAGAGACACACACACATCGATTGGCTGCCTCCCAATGAGCCCCAACCAAGTCTGAGGATCAAGCCTGCAACTGAGGTGAGTGCCCTTGGCCAGAGTCAAACCCGGGACCCTTCAGTCTGCAGGCCGACACTCTAACCACTGAGCCAAACCAGCTGGGGCCTTAAGTTATACTTTTGAATTGAATAGCTACATATCTAAACAGAAACCAAACACCTTCTTATTTTTCACATGAAGTACAAATGATTTAAATGTTCACTCTTTATCTTTTATTAAGGAGTTATTTGTGTTACTTCTCAAGTTCTAAAACTTTGTTTCATTAGTCATCAGTTTTTATTCTACCTACCATATTATTAGTATTATTATTTGTGTTGATCTTTACCCGAGGACATATTCTTTATTAATTTTTTTTTTGGGTGGGGGGGAGAGAAACATCATCGGGGGTGGGGGATGAACTTGCAACCCAGGTAAATGCCCTTGACCAGGGGACTGAATCTGAGACCCTTTGGTCTGAGGGCCGACATTCTACCACTGAACAACACCGGCCAGGGCTACCACATTATTTTTAAGTATTTGCACACAAAGTTTGCAAATATAGCTCACTGCATTTTCAAAAGAATAGTGTCTAACTTGACAATTAAGGTCATACAATATCCTTAAAAGTTTCATATGTGATGCAAATGTAAAAACATCAACTTTCAAAATAAAATTTGGTGATTCTTAAAAATCATTTCCTAAAAACCCACTCAGAGACAGAACATGCACACTAGTACTGCAAACAGATATATTTATTTACTTTTTCCAAGCATTTGGGGAATACTATTATTGGAGAGTTTAAATTTGAATCTATGTGAAGTCTAAATTTATTTTAAAAGCATTATAACTACCAAGCATAAATATTTTAACTTTTAAGATAGCTTTTTTAATGTGCTAATAATTCAAAATATAAATCACTAAATTTTGACTGAATGAAAACTTTTACCTTAGAGAATAAGAAGTGGACAGACAGAATGGGTCTGGAAAGTTTCATTCAATAAATAGTCATTCTTTGAATATTTAGGCCAGCCACTATTCCAGGTGCTACAGATACAGTGCAACCCAAGCCAAGATTCTTGACCCCACAGAGTTTACACTGTCTATATGTTCTTATTAGCATACAGCCATGGTGAGTGGAATTATGGCCCTTAACTACTCCTTAGAATTTTTTAATATGGTACACTTGCTACTTTTGTTTCTAAGATGATACATAACAAATCACTACAGTGCAAACCTCAGGTACATACTGGTCTGAACTGACTGGTATAATATTCTGCTTGAAGGAATTCTTGCAGGTCTTCAACATTGTTCAACGTTGCACTCATGCCAATAATTTGAGTTGTTTCTAAAAGAAAATTCCAAAGTATTGAAAATAATGTGTTATTTAGTATATTACAATGGTAATTTTAGCATCCTTTCTGGGTTCTATATTTTTCCTGAGTGATTTGGAAAAGGGACAGGAGGGTGGTAAGAAAAATACAAATATGTTATCAGAGTATTAATCTGGCAATCAAAGAATGAAACTTTTCTCATATACTAAAAGTTATCATTTTGAGTTTTATAAAATTTCAAACTTGGGCAAGAAGGAGGATCTTTATTAAGGCTTCTAAACAATAATAATGAGCATAAATATGCTTGTTGCTGACTATCTGGGCCACCATTATGAAGAATCATGACACGGTACAGGTTCGGCCATATGCGGATGTACAGTGTAGGATGCAGGGTCCTGAACTCTTGCCACATGAAAAGTCCTTTATGCAATGTTGCTATCAGGTTAACTTTTCTTTACTTTAAAACACAGGTGGACTGAAACTTATGAAGCTGCATGACTTCCTGGGCAGTACAAAACTGCTTTCCACAGACCAGCTATTAAATCAAAAAACAAAGAAGACTTCTTAGCAAATTGCTGCTGTGTTTTGTCCTGAACTTTATCTTGCAAGATATTATCTGAAACAGGAATATGTGTTGCCCCTTCCTACTCCAGAAGGGCGGATGATGAAGCTGAAGAGGTGAGCATGTGCCCAAATCAGGAAAGGCTGCGCTAAGAAATTTGGGATTTATGCAGAAACAAAGGGAAGCTATGAAAGGATTGTAAATAGTAAAATAAACTATGGGATTTGTATTTGGGGAATACCACTCTAACTGCACTAGAGAAGATGGATTTGGTGAGGGAGAGGCAGTGATCAAGACTGTTCAGATCAAGGTAGATGAGCTTTCCGTGGTAATCTAGGTAAGAAAGGACAAGGTGTTGAGCTAAAGATTAGTAGTAAAGAAGGACAGGAGAGAGAACTTAAAAACATATTTATGAGGTAGACCAGAGAAGATGTGGTTGCTGCCAATGTGCAAGAGTGAAGACTGTAAGATTCTGGCTGGCTGGCCGGCTGGCTGACACGCAGTGGCAGGGAATTCAGACTGAAGAATGGGTTTGAGGGAAACGAGTTAGACTTGGACATGGTGGAGCCGAGCTGCTCACAGGATATTCAAGTAGAAGTGTCCAGCTGACAGGTGGTATTGCTCAGAAGAGAGCCATAAGCTGGAAATACAGATCGGGAGCCATCAGCACAAAGGAAGCACCTGCAGCCATGAGTGTGGATGAGAATTAGCAGAAGCTGTATGAAGTAGGGAGCAGAAGAGCCTGAGAGGAACCTATGGAAACACCAACGCATATCATGAACATGCTTAGGACAAGGCGTCACAGAGGGGAACAGGGAACAACTAAGAGGCTCAATTCATTTAAATATCTATGATGTGCCAGGCACTGGTGATGGGAAGACAAACATGTATCAATAGCAAACACACGTCCATTACGTGCAGGCGCTACCTAGATGCTTTATGAAGATTAACTCGTGCCACCTTTACAGTAATTCAGGGAGAAGGGTCTATTACTATCATCTGTTTTTGAGGCATAAGGAAACAGAGGCACAGTGACTATAACTGGCCCAAGGTCACGTATGTAGTTAACAGTGAGCCAGAATCTGAACCTCGTTCCAGAATCTGCCCTCAGCACCATGCTATGCTACCTTTCCACGCCAGCACATGATCCCACGTACACAGACACAGCAGGAAAACCAGGGGAGAATGAGAATGATGGCAGCACCCAAAGGAAAAAAGAATGATAAACAGTCAAATGCTGAAGGAAAACTGAGACAAGGACAGTCAGTGTACACTAGACTGGACAAGCAGGTGATCACTCTCCTCTCTGCTTTACACTTTCCCTTAGAACTGGTCGCCATTTGACACACCATATGTTTTCTTGTTTATAATACCATTGCTATCAAAATTTTTAAAATAATTCTTAAGATTTGACCTTTATAATTAATAATTTTGCATAAAGAAACTAAATTATTGCAATAGCATATCATTATATAGTAGAGAAGACATTTAGAATAAATATTTTATGTACATTTAAAGACTATCTGAGGTTACAAAATAGATCCTCAAAGCAACTACTTGAATATACTGCGTTACTGGTATGATGACACTGATGGTGGCCACAGCAGCAACTCGAATGCTCTGTGCTAGTCATTGCTCATTGCCTCATGTGCTAATTCATAAGATCCTCACAACAGTCCCATCAGGTCAGTACCATTATTATCCCCATCTTACAGATGAAGAAACAGAAAGGTTGTGACCGGCTTAAACAACATGGCTAATAAGTGAAGGATGACGACAGGGATGTCCTCACATGTCACTTTCATTTATCTTCACAATCTTCCTCCTTCATCCATTCTTCCACCAAAAATGTATACGCTTACCTTAGAAATCAAAATCTAAAGTAGAGAGCTTAAGTACCTTACTCTAAGTTATGTAATCTAGCTAGTGATAGAAATACGTCTTTTATAGATCTCTTGATCATAAATCAGTTAGTGAAAACATTTGAAGAAATACTTACTGCTGGTGTAGAGGATTTTTGCCAGGGTCATTTCCAGTACAGCACCACGGCTTCCTTCAGCAATCATGTGCAACTTGAGATTTTTAAAAGGAGGAAGAAAAGTCAGTCTGCAAGTAATGCCTATATAAAACATGCATATATCTGTATGAAATAAAGTGATCATTGCTTTATAACTCTTAAGCATTTTGAGTATAACAACTAGAGTATATATGCATTATTTCACTGAGAGGCTTGGGGGCAACATCTTAACACGTCTGGAATTTACAATGACTTATAAAATTGAATATATACACACATATATTTACTTTTCAAGAAACACTTGAAACAACACTGAATTTAAGATTATCAAGCGTGAAATGTTTTCATCTGTATTGTCTATATATTAAAATAAACTATTCTCATAGAAGTACTAAGCAGGTCCATGTAATAACTGTTAATATAATAAAAATGTTAAGTTACAAAAGTAGTAACCCACCTCATCTACAACCACCAGACCCAGATTGCTAATCCTTCCAGTTTCAATCAAGGAGTTGACCAGACTATGTCCTTTTTCAATAGTGGCAATGTACAGCGATTTCTTTTCCCTTCTTTTAATTGGAGGAAATTTTCCTTTGCTTCCAGCATATTCTTCAACAAAGAAACCCAGTTCTATACCAAAGCTTGACAAACCTGAAATCTAGAATATTAGTTAAAATAAACAAACAAAACAGGTAAATAAGAACCTTAATTATTAAGTGCTCTTGGGGATTTAAAAAATCTAAAATTGTGTTTAATACCAATCAGTGGGAACAAGGTCACAGATTACACAAACATCTACGAAATGGCACAATTAGTGCTCGTTTCAGCAGCACACGTACTAAAATTGGAACAATGCAGAGAAGATTACGCAAATTAGTGAAGTGTTCCATATTTTTAAAAAAAGTCCCAATTAATGTTGATCTTTGCAAAATGAACACAACTTTTAAACTACTGAATGAGAAAATAAACTTTAACTGTCTCCTCTGATGTTAAAAAATCAGAATAACGAATTTATTTTGATTAAATAATTGAAAGGAAGACAAATATCAATAGAATGTTTATGATGGAGTTTAATCCACCAGTTTAGGTCAGAAAAGATTTTCAATTAAGTACTCCATACTGCTTTTAACACATTCTAAAAATATTAATTCTCCATCATTAATAGAAATACTTTTCAGTCAATAATAAGTTACATTTATGTCGTTTTTATATCTTAATGTCAAAATAACATTAGCAAATACTTGTTTTAAAAAAACACACCTTTTCTTGGACAATTGCCACATATGGCAGGATCATTAAAACATCTCTCCGCCGGCAAAGCAGTTCTTGTAGCATTAAAATCTCAGCCACGAGGGTTTTTCCACCACTAGTTGGCAAGGAATATATTAAATTCTTTCTATCTTGCACAGAATTTAATGTCAAGCAAGTATGTTGCCATTCTGTGGAATTAAAAAAAAAGCATTATTTTCCCCTAATATAGTCTCAATCTTAGAAAGCCTTCTAAGATGAAAAAATCAAATCCCACCTTGTGTAGCAACTTTCTCATAACTATAATTATACATCGATGCTAAATGTCAAAAATCCCCAATGTGTGATGTGTACAGTGAGTCTAATTCTAATTCAGGCCTGGTCAGTGGGGTGGGCAACTAGCTCTCCTACTTGCCAACTGCAAACCTAGGTCTAAGATCCCAGCAGGGCAGGCAGTGCCTGCGGGACAAGAGGCAGCATCTAGGACATCAGAGGAGCTACAGGACAGTACATGATCTGTGTGAATTCTAAGGCTTTCCTCTGATGTTCTGCAAGGAGATTGAGTAAACTTCCCTGTCTCATTCACCCAAATGCCATCTTAGGGAAATAGGGGGAGAAGGGAAAAAATGTATGAGGTCTTGTACAAACCAAGAAAGACTATTAAGCTCTCATGGGAAGCTGAACTTTGAACAACTTGAATACCATTTTAAACTGATAAGACAGTTTAAACCACAAGAGATGGATTATTAATTGGCACATCTAGGTTTTCCGCAACTTTGCATGGTGGAATTCATGAAAAGCATCACGTCAGATCCAAAACATGGTGTGAGAACTAGTAGGACTACTTTGTAGGATAATTTGACAATGCAGATTGTCAGAAATCTTCAAAGTGTGCACCAGTATTTTATCACTAGAAAAAATGGGAAAAGATATTCAAGACATTTCACTGTAGGGAGAAATGCAAATGACTAATAAATACATGAAGAGATGCTTAATTGTTACCTCTTGGGTTGGCAAAAATAAATAAAGAACAAATAAATAAATAAATATATATATATAAAGGCCCACTATTATAAAACCTGGCTGGCCAAAGTGGAGACAAACAGGCATCTTGTGAATGGTTTACGAGGGCATAAACTGCTTCAGTCTTTTTGGAAAGCAATTTGGCAGCACCTAAAGTGGCACTGCATATTGTTTTTGATCTACTAGTAATTCTTCCAGAACTCTACGCCCACAGAAACAAAGGGGCATACAAAGATTATTTGTGGGATGTTCACCAGGGCACTGTTTACATGTAACAAAAACCACTGGGGGACAAAGGCTGAATGAACATTTGCGCAGTCACATGATGTGCCTCTTTGCGGCTTGAAAATGGGGGATAGACAGATTTATATATACCCAATATACAGGTAAGTGAAAAGAGCAGATTATCGATGTGTGTTGGGTAGTATGAACCCAATTATGTATAGATATTAGAAAACAATATGTGCATAGAAAAGTTGGGCTTGAATACTTTGCATTTTTCCCAAAAAATTAAATTTAAAAAATGATTAGCAGAATATATTACAAAGCTATTAAAAATAATTATACATGAGTGACAATTACAAGGGACTTACTGTGCACTTTTGGTGATTCTCAAATATTTGCAAATAACTATATACTGCTTTTTTTACTTTAAAATATTTTAGGAAAAAAGATTAAAATTTAGTTTTAATCCTTACTTAAATTTAATACTTAAGTATTAAAAAAAACTTCATACTGGTATCACCCATTAGTTATCAAACTGCAGATGTTTGTGCAAAAATTCAACTTGACCATTTCTGTATTTTATCCAACTCAGACTTTTAAAGTATAAAATGACCAAAATAATAAATATCTAGTAATATTATTTATCTTCAAACATTAAAAAATATAGTCCTGGCCTGGTGGGCTCAGTTGGTTGGAGCATCATTTTGTACACCAGAAAGATGTGGGTTCAATTTCCAGGCAGGGCACATACCTAGGTTACAGGTTCGATCCCTGCTCGGGGCATGTACGGAGGCAACTAATCAATGTTTCTCTTTCACATCCATGCTTCTCTCTCTTTCCCTTCCCCTCTCTCTCAGATCAATAAAAAAATATCCTCAGGTGAGAATTAAAAATTTTTTTAAGTAAATTATATTAACATAGTTCTCAACATTTATATAAAACACATTAAGCATGTAATTCTATGATAAAAAAGCAACCACCACACTACAGAGATTGGCAAAAGTAGGTTTACAGTTTTAAGTACACAAAACAGATTATTCTTGTATTATCATTTACTAATCATTGTATTATTTGTATTGCAACTGTAAACCTATTTTTGCCCAACCCTGTATAAATTTGAGGTTTTCTAGCTCAGTGGTTCTCAAACATCTGGCTTATCAGAATGTCCTGTAGGGCTTGTTAAAGCAGATTGCCAGTCCCACCCCCAGAGGTTACGATTCAGTAGGTCTGAACTGGGGCCTGAATGCACATTTCAGCAAGTTTCCAGGTGATGTTAATGCACGTTGAGAACCACTGCTTTAGCACATGTAATTATGTTTTAAATTGGTCATTTTATTAAGCTAAATTTATAAGTAAAAAGATTTATTTACCAAAGTTCAACTTCAAAGTTACTAATATAATTACTGACAGTCATTATCAAAATCTAATTTGGCATGTCCTTCACACAGAATATAACTTGCAAAAGAATTATTTTTATTATCATCATCATCCTTTTTTAACACATCAGAAACTAAGACTCAGTGTGCTACACTTATGTTTAAGCGACAGAGCCAGAATAAGTAGGCTGACAACTCCAGCAGTTGAGAACCTACTAGGGTATACCAGATACAGTGCTAGTTACATAAGAAAAAGATGAATTAGATAGAGCCCTGTCCTCAGGGTACTCATTCTGGTGGGAGATGCAGATTAAACAAAGAACAAGGGCTAGGAGAAAAGAAAAGGAAAGTTAACATCTCCTTCAAGAGCAATACACACCATTAACTCTTAACTACAAATCTCAATTTAAAATTTATTAGACTCTTGTAGAGTCTTAGACTTTTTTTCCTATAGTTCTATTTCTCAAACCTAATTGTCGTCTCCTTGAGAGGAAAACCTATGATTTCATATGGTTAAGATACTGACATAGTTTCAGAAATACTGATAGTGATTGATAGGTTGATCTTCCAGAATGGCAGCAACTGTACCTTCTTTGTCTAAAATGATACATATTTGAAATACAGGCAAGAATCCAGGATTTTTTTAAAACATTACCTGATACATTGCTATTAATATTCTTTGCACTTAAGTCTTAACTTCAGCTGTCTTTAAAGATGTTTAAGCAACGGTATTACTAATACTGACTTCTTTCACTCAAGACATCTCAGTAGTCAATTTCAACAACTGAGTTTTGGTACAGAAGACAGAGCCGGCCAAGGAAACACCAGCTAAGAAAACTGACAAGTAGCTGGACAATGAAGAAAAAACCCAGGAGTGGAATGTCAAGAAATCAAAAAAGAAGTATTTCGCCTGGCCGGGAGTGGCTCAGCGGTTGATCATTGACCTAGGATCCAGGCAACTGGGGTTCGATTCCTGGTCAGGGCACATGCCTGGGTTGCAGGCTCCATCCCCAGTCGGGGGAGTGCAGAAGGCAGCTCATCAATGACTCTCTCATCATTGATGTTTCTATCTCTCTCTCCCTCTCTCCTTTCCTCCCTCTGAAATCAATAAAGATATATATATATATATAT